TGTCCAGGTTTTTCATTAGTAGAGACAGATTTTATCAATTTATAGCCATTTTTTCGGTAAATGTTTATGTTTATTTTCCACAAAATGAGTCTCTGAGTAAAAATATTTCATGTAAGGGCATTTCTTGAATTGATAGAAAGTGTACTTATATCTTTCATATTCTTTTGTTTTATTATGTAGTAGTGTTGTTAAACGGCTCGTTTTGAGCCGATTTTCAAAAACGGCTAACTCAATGTTTTAGCCAGAAAAATATAGCCTAAGCCTTAAAAGTTCACTGATATATGTATAGACCCCTGTTCCTTCTATGAGCAAAATCTTCAGGCTTGCGTAATAGAATTCTAAGTGAAGTATTGAGTTAGTCGTTTTAAAAATTTAACAACACTATTATGTAGACGTTATTCATAAACCATCAAGAAAAAGTTTCAAAATTTTTTAAAATTTTATTCATGAATTTTTTAAGTAATCATTTTAATGTCCAAATCTGTTAATATTTCAATGAAATAATATATATTTTATTTCTAAAATAGTGTAAATTTACCCAGCAAAAAACCATTATTAAAAGACGATTTATAAGTAAAAAGTTTTAAGTTGCTATTGCCCACCTATTTTTCAAATATTTATTTTATCATCAGATAGAATAATATCCAATTAACAAATCATCTTCATAAAACTAGTTTATCCACTTTATTTAAAAGATAGGATTTTTTGTTGCATATTTTCTTTTTAATATTATTTATAGATCCATTAAAAAATTTTTTTTACAATTGCCTACTTATTTTTCAAACATTTATCTTATCAGATATGATAATATCCAATTTTAATTTTTCAATAAATAGTCATTTAAAAAATGGCTCCACTTAATTTGAAATTAGTACTTTTTGTTTCATGTTAATTATATATTTTTTATAATAAAAGGGATTTATTTTCCGCAATTTTTTATTTTTAAGTCTTTTTTCCGTGGTTGTTTTTCTTCCACAAGCATTATTTCCAGGTTATCAGTAAAATATAGAATAAAATTTAACAGTGCAGAAATACTCTAGAGATTTTTGGTACCTCCTTTAATTTTAAAAATTTTTAAATGGTTTTTATATGAGTTTCTTATTACCAAAAAACAATTTCGGGTATAACACAACATACAAAATTATTTTTAATAATAAAATTCATCAATTAATCAAAACTTTTATGCAAAATATAATCATGGTCAATATTACAGGGTTTCCCATTCAAAAAAGGAAAAGTCCCAATCAAAAAAGGAAAAGTTTCAATCATAAAAGGAAAAGGTCCGATCAAAAAAGGAAAAGAGTCAATCACAAAAGGAAAAAGCTCAAACAAAAAAGGAAAAGTGTCAATCAAAAAAGGAAAATTCTCAAAAAGAAAGGAAAATCCAATCAAAAAAGGAAAAGTGTCAAACAAAGAAGTAAAAGATTCAATCAAAAAAGAAAAAATGTCAAACAAAAAAGGAAAAGGTCCAATCAAAAAAAGGAAAATTCCCAAAAAGAAAGGAAAAGTGTCAATCAAAAAAGGAAAATTCCCATTCAAAAAAAGGAAATCGTAATTTTTTAAATTTTTTTAAAAAATATTATAAAATCTTCAATTTTTCTTAAATTTTTATTTATTTTTGTCATTCCTTCTTATTATATTTCTAACTTTTTGATATTTCTTTACTTTATTTATATCTTTTAATTTATTTTTCTTACTATATCTTTTCTCAATTTTTTTCATCTCATTTTTGATAATTCTTTTGTATTTTTAAAAATAATTTATAAATTTAGGTCCATTTTTTTAACAATTCACGTTTTTTTTCCATCATACAATATTCTTTTTATGATTTTTCCATTGTAATCTTTTACATACATTTCTAACCTTTTCAATCTCTTTAAGTCATTTTTAATCTTTATTTTTTTGAGCATTTCTCATTTTTTTTCTTCTCATTTTTGATAATTTTAAAAATGATTCTATTTTATTAATTTACATATCGTTTGGTATTACAGTTCAAACTTATTTAATTTTAAAAAGGTACATTATAACCAAACGATTAATTTAATTTAGCAATTGTTTAAATATAATTTTAAAAAATAATTATCAAAAATGAGAAGAAAAAAATTGAGAAATGCTCAAAAAATAAAGATTTGACTTAAAGAGATTGAAAAGGTTAGAAATGTATGTAAAAGATTACAATGAAAAAATCATAAAAAGAATATTGTATGTATCATGAAAAAAAATCGTAAAGAATGGTTAAAAAAATGAACCTAAATTTATAAATTATTTTTAAAAATACATCGAATAATTCAAAAAAAGAGAAGAAAAATAAATTGAGAGAAGATATAGTAAGAAAAATAAAAGTAAAGAAAGCAAAAGGTTAGAAATAAATTGAGAAAAGATACAGTAAGAAAAAAAACATAAAGAAATCGCAAAAATTTAGAAAGAAATTAAGAAGAACAAAAATTTAAAAAATTACGATTTTCCTTTTTTGATTAACACTTTTCCTTTCCTTTTGGGAATTTTCCTTTTTCGATTGACACTTTTCCTTTTTTGATTGGACCTTTTCCTTTTTTTTTGATTGAACCTTTTCCTTTTTTGATCGGACTTTTTTTTTTCTTTTTGGGAATTTTCCTTTTTTGTTTGGGCCTTTCCTTTTATGATTGACTCTTTTCCTTTTATGATTGACCCTTTTCCTTTTTTGATCGGACCTTTTTTCTTTATGATTGAAACTTTTCCTCTTTTGATTGGGACTTTTCCTTTTTTGAATGGGAAATCCTGTATGTTTTGAAAACAAAAACTAATCATGAATAAAATACAACAAAAAAGAAAAATGATTTAAATAATTTTGATTTTCATGACAACCCTAATCAGTATTCGGAATGAACAATCTCCTTAAATTAGATCTAAATATCTGGTCGCAGGGTGACAAACACTTGGAGGCCCCCTCAGAACTTCTCAAAGTTCATAAAAATAAAATCATTGAGTAACTTTCTTCGGAAATCGGCTTTATTTTTAATATAGATAAATGTAAAATATGTACCTCCAGCTCCATATTTCCTCTGGGCAGTGCAGGGCTGAAGTCGATTTGCCCAAATTCGTTGTTAAATTTTTGCAGCTCCCTTAACTGGTTGTCATTTCGTAAACTCGTTATTAATTAGAAGAGTTAATTAGTTCTCACAAATCTCGTGAAGTACAAATTAAATCCAATATTCTGAAATATTATGAATAAACATGACGATAATAAAATTGCTAAATACGGGCTAAAGTTTGGGTTGCCTCCTAGAATTAGTAATTAGTGATTCGGAATCTTTCAATTTTAAATCATTTACTACGGACTATTTTTAAATTTGAAAAATTGTAGTTTACCGGTTTTGTATTATAGCATATACAGATTAACTATACCTTGAATTTCGGACAATTTTCCCGCGATTCAAGTATATTAGGCGCATAGCAAGGATATTTTTACAGGGGGGGGGGGGGGTAATTATTTTTATATTAAAATAGTTTTTTGTAAAATTAAAATTTATTAGAACTTATTATAATGCAAAATTTATTACAACCAATCATATTTTAAAAAATGACCATTTCGAACACAAATTGGAAAATAAAAAAATATTTAAGAGCGGATATGTTATTGTTAAGAAATATTATAACTATAAACTGGTAAGTAAATAACAGTAAATTTTGAATTAAACATTATATGGTGATTTTAAAAGTAAATCAAAATATCATTCATAAATGGAAATATAATCTTCTATGTGCTTGCATCAATTTTTCAATGGATTGTTCTGTTTTGGGGATTAAATCTACATTTCTATTAAGCCCAATTAATCGATTTTCTGATGTCATACTTCTGAGATAAGTTTTTATTCTCCGTAATGAAGAAAAGATCGTCTCATTTATAATTGGTATTGTTGACAAAATAAACAGTAATCTTAATATATTTGGAAAAAGCACTAAAATGCATTTTAAAATATGCATTGCTTCCTTGGGTTTCTTGGAGGATGTTAATAATACCAAGATTTAAGTTCTAAAATTAATTTGCGTTCATATACATTTATATCCTCCGAATAAAATGTGATAGATATATAATTTTTCAACATCAAGATTTAATCCTCAAACGGATTTCTAAATATAATAGTATTTGTAAATTGGATGAAACCATTTGATGAATCACAAATGTTGATTGATATGGTATTCAAAATTGGAATAATAACGGTTATTTTTTAATAATACCCAATTGAGTCCACGTTAATACTGGAACAATTTGTTTGTCTAGGTGCAAGTCGAGGCTTGCGAATCGCAAGATCTATAATTTCGTTTTCGCCTCAACAATCACACAAATTTCGTGAAATTCTTGGTTGATATGAAATCTTAGTTTTCTAAGTTGTAATATAATTATAATAATGTTCGCGATTCTCATAACCTCAAACTCAATCAGATTCTTATCATTTTTTTGAAAATTATTGCATAACATTGTTGTGTAAATAAATAGTTTCTTAATATTCCAATGCAAATAAAATCGCTGTTCGCATTGAATCTAATCATGTATTTGCTTCCAATGATATATCTAGTTCAGGTTATTCTGATATTTCTTAATGGGCAATCAAAATAGGTTCTTCTAAATCCAAAAATGCTCTAATGCTTGATATATAAGACTCCATCTTGTCGGGCATGTTTTTTACGGTTTCTTTTTTCTTGTAGCACAAGAAGTCGCAGAAATAATTCTATTCAGCAAATTCGCTCGCTTTGGATATCTGAACATATACACTATAAATTTTTATTAATTTTAAATATTACTTCATTTTTAATAACATTGTCCTGTTTTATTTATTTTTTGCTTTTGATACCAGCCCGAAATATGAAATTGTGTTTATTTCTAGGTATTTACTTAAAATTTTTTCATAAATTATACATCTCCTTTTGATTGTCAAAAAATAATACCAGAATCAGAGCCAACCAAAACCTTATTAAATATTATTTTACTATAAACATATCTAAATTATCATAAATCATAGCCTTGAAGGAGTTACATGTGGACAATCTGGATGTGTTGACCATCGCCTTCCCCGAGTACTGCAGGCACAAAACGAAACCTGAGGATTTCAAACCTATTTGGTGTGAAGCCGAAAAATTGTGTGACTCCAAAAATCCCAAGGTCATATCGTTAGGTGTCAGCGATTTGAACAAAAGTCAACTGGAAACGCTTACTAGCTGGGCCAGAGTTATATTTAACGCCTCCTTATATAAATTTCATATTAATCACTTCTTCTTATTGTTATATTTGGAGGATTTTTAAAAGTTTTATTACCATCAAGCTACTTTTTGTAAAAAAAATTGAGATTATATTTTGAATTTATTTTAGGTTAAACCTTCTAGCAATCAAATCAACTCTATATTATCCTGTATTGTACCGGAAGACTTGACAAATTATGCCGACGAAAATGGAGTTGCTTTATTAACCCATAATGATAAATATAGTACATTTTTATATGATATTTTATTCAAAAGAAAATACATAAAATTATATTAAATAATATATTTTCATATGTTATTTATAATTTTAATATTTAATGAAAATATCTATCAAATAAATCTGTATTATGAAAACAGAAATTCTTTCGGACACAGATTTCCAAGACTGCATCAAACCATTAATTAAAGATTGTAGCAAATGGAAACCCAATTTTGTTTTGAGGTACGTTGTTTCGATTAAATGCAGAGAAGTTTTAAAAGAAAAGGGCTATATGATTAAAGCTATTAGACATTAATTTTTTAAACACAAACCAAAAAATTTAATTTAATTAAATATATCCCAAATCCATCCAAAATATTTTTCCCAATTTTAACAATTTATACTACATTGGACACTGTTCATCAGAATAAATTTTTTATATATACTATATGAATGAATATGAATACTCTATTTTTTTATATTGAATTTTTTTAATTGTATAGAGTTGTTACTTTATACAGTGTTATCTCATTGCTCCTGAATTATACTTTTACTTATCAAATTTTGAATTGTATGTTATCGCAATTTAAAATATAGTCACAATATAACTAAAATACCATTTTTAGGTCATTTTTTAGCCAAATTATTTTATAGCCATGATCACATCACGACCTTAAAGTTTAGATAACTTAAAATATTTATTGTTATATTGTTCCTTGAAACGAGATTAAAAATGTTTCAAATTGAGGTAATAAAATTTAGATATACTTTTTTTTGTTAGTATATCAGAATGTTATATTTTTTTAAATTTTCAATGCAATAGTTATCAACTTAATTGCATTGCATGTTATAATTGTATCATTTTAAATTATTATGACTTTGTTGTTATAATCGAAAAAAGTATTTATTAACAATAATAAAAAATTTAATTTTTTAAAATCATTTATAAATTGAAAGATAAGAAATGCACAAATTTTTGCAAAACAATATTTAAGCTCAATTCAAGCAGTAATGTAACAATGGGTTGCCCCTCCCTTATAAGAAAATGTTATTTTAAAAATTGACTTCTCTAAATTTTCATTGCACGATTATTTAATTTGAGTTCGAGCCCTTAAATTCTATTTTTTGGCTCAAGACCATCCCAATCAAATAATTCATAGTAAAATATGTTAAAACTTTTTTTATTGCATATATATTTTTAAAAAGAATATTTTTATATAATATAAAAACTTGTGACATTTTGTCACATTTTTTTGTCATATTTTGTGACAAAGTTTATATCCGTATTTGGAATCGAACTCACGACTTAATACGATAATTGAACATTTGTCGCAGCAGCTTAGCGTTATGTTCTCACTGCAGCAGCATAGCGTTATACCTTCACGGATTCTTATATTATTTATTTATTTTAAAGTTGTCTTTTTAATACAAAATATATATTGGTATCAAATAAAATCCAATTTAAATATCTTTTGACTGAAGGTATTCATTCTTGGTCTTAATGGTTGAACTTGATCTGGGGGGGAGGGGGGATATAAAGTAAAACTTTATAGGGTATCAAATAAAGTAATTAAAATGTCTTTTGATTGTAATGATAATTAGTGATCTGCATCGGGCCTAATTTTTCAAGCCTGGCCCTGCCCAAAATTTTTTTAAAAAAAGTTTTGCCGGCCTGAACCCGAAATTTTTTTTAAAAAAACTTCTGAACCTTAACTTTTACGAATAAAAACTAAAATTAATGAATGAAATTGGTACATTTAAATTTATAAATCAAACAATAAAAGAATACTTAGTAACAGGAAAATATCCTTTACTGCTTAAAATTTTAATTATTTAATATAGACATTTTCAGATCATTGTAATTGTATTATAATATAATATATACTCAATTTTTTGTGATAATTATGTTTTTTTTGTGATATATTTTCTTTTTATAAAATTTTTCTTGTTTTTTTGAAATAAAATTGTGTCTATCCTTTTTATTTATATAGTATTAGGAAATCAGCCAGTTTTAATATTATTGCAATAAAATAAAGTTTCAGTTTAAAAGAATAATTTAAGACAATAAGATTTGATTTTAAATTTTATTTTATAAATTTCTATATAAAAAATATAAATTGTATATGCATCTAAAATAAAAAATGACGATTTTATGAAGCCAACAGAAAATGATTAAAACATAATCAGATGATAGATATTGATTGAGATTCTTTGATATAATAGAAACCATCATTTGTCTATGATTAGTTTAAGCTTTTGTTTATTAAAATTTTAAGGCTAGAGACCCCAATAATATGATGATAAATGAAGAAAACTTGTATACATTGTATTTAATTAAAATTTTCTGCAGGATGGAGTTGAATAAACATAATTTTAACCATAAGAAGAAAATTATTACAAGTAATGGGTTAACAAATAAAAATTATATAGGATATCAAGAATTGTAAAATAAATAAATTCCTTGAAATAATTATATAAAAGGATAGAAAATCCTTTTTTTAAACATTAAAATATATTTAAAACTTTTAAATCTATTTTAAATAAATTTTTTACAAATCAAAAATGGCCGCCAATATTTTTGAAGCGATGAAAAAATATCTTAAATTATTTTTCTATCTCTAAATTGTAAATGGGTTGTTAATTGTCAGATATCACCATGCCACTGTTGCTATTTATCTAATAGATTGTTATACAGACATACTTTCATTGCATTCCATAACTGCTTAATATAATTATGCCTATAGATTATGCGCCGTCATTCTCATTTGTCTCCTAAGCTTTTATAAAGATTTACCCTGCCTACATCAGACTCTTTTATATTCGTCAACCTTAGACACATCTTCAATATATATTCCGCATAAATTATCATTCTAAATTTTAAATATATGACAAATCTTATCTCTTATTTTCTCCTATCTATTGATAAGAGGGTTGACAAATAAAAATTTAAATGCATAATATGTGTCCCTCCCTTATGCAATAAATCTTCATACATAACCAGAGCTAGGATGTTTCTAATCTATGGTCCTCCATCAATTGTAAATGGGTAGTTAATTATTTTTACACAGAGATATACTATCAACTGCAATTTAATAGATTTCAATCACAGACATATGCATTCAACTGGATTTCATAACAGGTCAACATAATTATGCTTACAGATCATGCATAGGGTCGGGAGAAATATGAAAATTGCTGTAGAAATATAAAAATTGCTAAAAAAAACAATTTTGCGAGCCTTCAATCGGATTTTGAATTGACTTATTTATCCGCCTATTATTTTTGATAATTACTTTATCTATTGATAAGAGGGTTGACAAATAAAAATTTAAATGCATGATATGTGTCCCTCTCTTATGCAATAAATCTTCATACATAACCAGAGCTAGGATGTTTCTAATCTATGGTCCTCCATCAATTGTAAATGGGTAGTTAATTATTTTTACAGATATACTATCAACTGCAATTTAATAGATTTCAATCACAGACATATACATTCAACTGTATTTCATAACAGGTCAACATAATTATGCCTACAGATCATGCATAGGGTCGGGAGAAATAGGAAAATTGCTGTAGAAATATAAAAATTGCTAAAAAAAAAATTTTGCGAGCCTTCAATCGGATTTTGAATTGACTTATTTATCCGCCTATTATTTTTGTTAATTACTTTATGTAAATACAAAATCGGTAACTATTTTTTCAAAATAATAGGTAACTATAGTATGAGACAAATTTTTTTTACTATCTTTATATTAAAATATATTGATAACTTATTTTATTTTTATTAAAATTTTTTAAATTCCAAAATACATTGACCATTTCTTAATTACTATGATAATCACCTTTATATCTTAAATTAATCAATTTGTTTTTTATTTAAATTTATTACCTAGTCACTTATTTATCTAAACCTTATACGAAATCTTTTAATTTTTTCACCCCTATCCAATCAAATGCAAAACTCTTCTCCCTTTTCAGGAAACTTAAAAATATTTTCCTTAAATACCAGATCATTAATAATAATTAACTGGCACAATTAAGGATTCTTCTAGACATCCTAGAAATCGAAATAGCTTCTATGTAAGAAACCCACTGGACACACTCATGTAAAATCCAATGTAATGAATACAAACTACTATCAACAGGAGAAACTAATATTAATTGGTCTGGTGTTTGTATAATTATAAAAGATAACTTAAGAAGCTTTAAACAGTAGAATATGTAGTATTAGATTTACAATATGTAAAGCTCTAAATATCATAAATGTATACACCCCTGCAAATTATCTTGAAATAAAAAACTTTCTTCCTACCCTCTTAGAATACCTAATTAAATTTCCTAAACGAGATGATTTATTAATCGCAGGTAACTTTAATGTCAAAATTCTAGTGATGTTAAAAGTTACTTTTGAAACTTAACTAGTTACAGTTACTAGTTACATTGGCAAAAACATAACTAGTTACAGTTACTAGTTACAAAAGTAATTAGTTATTAGTTACAGTTATTTTCAAAAGTAACTAGTTACTTACTTTATACATCATTCATATGCGCATTATTTATTTATTGAATGCATTTATTTAATATAAAAAAAATTAGGATAAACAAAGTATAATCAGTTATTTAAAATAATATACAATTTATTTATATAAAAAAATATCGCAAAATTGAATATTTACAACGAATATAAAAATATATATTTGCATTGAAAAAAAAACATTTATTTTTCATAAAAATTAGAATCTAATAAATGTTTATTTGCTTTTAACAACAAATTAATTTCAAAGTTATTATCTAGGTGACGTGCTCGTTTATCTCCAAAAATAGCTTATCTAGACTGAACAAGCGCTCTACGGGAGCACTTGATGTTAGAACAACATTTTATTTAATAAAGAGTAATTTTAACTTTGGAAAATCGTTATATAAAGAAAAAGTGTTGTTATTAGATTTGATAAAGTTTTCTATAAGTTCATCATCCAGATTATTTTGGCGCTTTAGGTCAAAAAATTTAACTATATCAAGTGATGTTGTTTTTGAGCATGATTCATTCGTCTGGGATTCACTTTGAGGTATTAAGGTATTTATTAAATTTAAAATTTCCTCCTTTTTTGCTTTATTCCTTTCTTGCCTAATCCAAGGCCAGTCAGTTTTAAATAAAGGGTGAAGAATTGCAGCAATGATGTTGTCATTATCATAAAGATTATTAAACCTATAACATGATATTATTAATTTATAAATAATTATTTGATTTAAGTTACCTTTTTTCAATACTAGCTAATATAGTGTCCTTTAGAGGTTGACAATATTTTAATCCCTGCACATCTGCCATACATATAAGTATTTGTGTTATTGTTGGGGTATAATAACCCAGATACATGTATTTTTCCCCTTCAAGAATATCAATAGCTTTGGACACTGGTGGCATAATCTAATTTTTAAATTGTAAATTTTTATAAGACATTAATTTAAATTTACACTACAATATTCTTTTATAAAATCACGATCATCTGATGTAAATCTACACAATTTTAATTCATCACATAATGAATCAAATTCCACAGGCACTTGATTTAAAAACGATAATATTTTGGCCAGGGATTTATAACAGGAACCCCATTTTGTTATAACGGGATATGGGAGTTGAGAATGTAATTTTTTTTTAATAAGTTCGGCGGATGGCCCAGATTTATTTTGGAGGTTCCACAAACGTTGGCATTTAGATATAGCTAAGTTATAAACTTTCCTATACCCCTCATTGTTTAAAAGTAACTTGTTGGCATCTTGTGTTGCCACTAAGTTTAATGTATGGAAAGAACAACTTCGATG